GGTTGCGAACGGTTGCGAACGGTTGCGAACGGTTGCGAACGGTTGCGGACGGTTGCGAACATAGAAGCAACGGGTTGCGAACAAGACTCTACCCAAGGAATTTTCTGTCTAACTGGGGTTGGGAATTGAACTGGGGTTGGGAACTCTTAGTGGGCGTTCTGAGGGTATGACCAGTGTGGTCATTTAAGTCACAGTGAGCAACAATGACCAATGGTATGACCAGTGTGGTCATGTCAGTCACAGTGACCAATGGTTTTGCTTCTGCCTGGCAACTTGTTGTCAAGTCACTTTCAGTGACAAGCATATTGCCCATCAGCCTTTAAACTTTCATGTGCTTGCGAGACGCCCCATGATTTTGAGGAATCCACCTCTCGCAGTTACCGTGTCTACGCATGAAAATTGTTATTTCAGATACCATGTGATATGTGCCTGTTTCCTTTCACCCCATAGAGCCATAGAGTTAACGGCCGGATCTAAAACATATCAACGTGTCGTTTGTTGATTATAACCTTGTTGCATTTAATGTGTTTACCGAGGGATCACGTGAAACTTTTTTGGGCGGTGTTATGGATGAAGTTTCATGTTCAAGGCGCAGCGAATGTCACATCCTTTGTTTCCCTGTGGTTTGTGGGTTTGGTGAGGGTAAGCTGTAAGTACGACGAGCTGCGTCACATTTTGTTTGACAGTGGCTCTTATTGGAAACGTTTTTTCCTAGCGCTCGTTCCTTGCCAGCCAGTGATAGCTCGATTCAGCCACAGATCCTCAGTCTTTTTCGCCACCCGCGAAATGGCCGACTTGGACCAACTGCCGGTTCTTGAAGCGCAGACCGATCGCGGGCGCACTCGTTTTTACCGACGTTTCCTGGACAAGGGCGTCGTGGAGTTGAAGGCGCACCTGAGTCGTACTGCGGAACTGTCACAATTAAAATTAAAGAATTAAGTTTAGAATGAGTCGGTTTTGGCGGAGGCCAGAACCGATGCGGCAGACCTTCAAGGCGGTTTGCGGGCCACAGTCGGATTCAGATTCGGTCAGATGATGCTCAAAATACTGTTGATGTCAGACTGCGTCGCGCAGCACGTTTCATGCGCAGTGGAAGTTGGCAGGCGACGACTATCACTATCTTCCCGGCGAACGCGTGAAGGACATATTGGCCATTTGCGCAATGTTTGTACTTAACTTAGTGCACTTGCCCTTAGAATCCAATCTGAAGCAAACAGCAAATGCGCAGGAGATTTTCAGGCGTGGTAGTTTCAGGATTGTGAAGAGTCCTGATTCGTTCTTTCTCTTCTACAAGCGCTTGGAGGAAGGCGCCCCGAAAAAACTGACAAGTTAATTTTCCAATGTTCTTCACTTCAGGATTGTCCTTCGTCGTATTGTTTGCTTTAAACAATTGTTCTTATTGCCGATACCCAAGGATATGTTACTCAAGGTCGTTTGTCAATGTTAGCTCCAAGCATGTTCCATACTCGAGGCTATGTCACCTCTATGGGCAATCGCCCCTGCTGCGTCCTCACAGCTGAGCCGTCTGACACACAGAAGTTCAGAAATGTGCCGAGTCCTTGGTCTCGGAAGCTGACCTGTCCATTAGTCAGTCACAGTCAGATGGACGTGTGTAGTGAATAGATTTTGAACCATTTTGTTGGAGGCTTTTGTTTGGCAACGCGGGCACCTTCCTGGAGGATTTCATGGGGCCGCGACACGGTGATGAACCTGACAAACGAACAGCTTTGTACGCAGAGAACTTTGAACATTTTGGTGATCACATGATCATAGTGCCAAATGAGACGATGACATTGCGCGACCAGTCTCGTGTTTTCGAACATGAGATTCATGGGCGGTCCGCTATGCCAATCGTCGTGCCAATCGTGGAGATTTGTGGCCCCAAGTTCAGGGCTTTGTTGCATTGCCACCGTGAGTCTGAGAGGGTCTGAGTCACAGTGGATTTTTGTCAGCCCAGAGTGGGGGCCAGTTTGACAACAGGCAAACTGAATACTAGTTTTTGGAACGACAAGGTGATGGCATGAGCCTTTGGCTGGTGCAGACCAATTTAGATTTCCTGTTTTACAGCAGATTGGAAAGAAACCGCATTTTCGGAATCGTTTGCCAGTTGCTATTTCAAATCAGATCAATCAATGATCACGCCTTTTGGTCACTAGTAGGCAGCCATGATGTGGCACCCTCAGAGCCGGGATTTCAACTGTTTTCAGCTATTCTTGGCTCAGACCGCCAGTTTTTACTTGCAGGGTTTGCTGACGTTGTCGCTGCAACAGCTTTGTTACAAATGCCTGTAAGCAA